GCAGGTGGAGTACCACCACATTCAGGCGAAAGTAACAAATTTGAAAAGAGTTCATATTCTTCCAAATACTCGGGAGGTTATGGCAGCTCAAGTTCATATAAGCCAGGTGGCAGTGAACCTTTACACGTAGATTATCACAGACCTTCTTCCAACTATTCATATCCACCGCCTCCTACCGGCACATCTGGCTATGCTTCTACCAATACATCATCATATGACTATCATCGTGCTAGTGGTTACCCGTACGAGTACGAGAGTAATTATTATCCACAAAACCATCATAGCTCATCCTACAGCCATCGTTATCCTTCTTCGCGTCCCCGGGGAGAATACTACTCCAGATCTTCTTCATCGTATGCTTACAGCAAATCAGATCAATACTATGACAACAAAACTAGCTCTTCTTCTTCATCTCACACTGATGCTGGCCGATCAGATAAGCATTATGTGGGAAAACGTCATCGGCAGCGTGATGAACGTCCAGTCAAATCGGAATCGGAAAGAGATCGTTTATTACGAACTTGGCGTTCAAATTACTGTGAAACGTCTGAAGAAATTCAACGTAAAATGGATGAATTGGCTGAAATGGATGAAGAAAGTCGTGAGGTGTGGGTACGTTCTTCTCCGGCTGATCCCTATTACAAACGTACAAATAATGTACATGAAGTGGAGGCCACCACGCGTCTGGATATGTTGTGTCAACTGTTTGAGGAAAAATTAATCAAAAGAGCTGATGCTATAAGAGCTACATTGCCGCCATACAAACCACCACCAAGACAAACACGTCGACGCGTGTGCAAACATAAATCTGAAGGTTGTACTTCGTCAGACAGCGATTCATCCGACAATGAAGAATTTAAACTAGAACAAGACAACTGTATGGAAGAATTATCACGGAAATTACAACATCCCTATCGGGTACATGCCGACTTGTGGCACAATGAAAACGGCGAAATGAACGATGGTCCACTATGTCGTTGTTCGGTCAAGTCGCGACGTGTTGGGATACGTCACGGCATCTATCCGGGAGAAGATGGCTATCCTAAGTGTGATCCAAATTCCAATAACGCTCATAAATTACATCATTATCGCATTACCATTTCGCCACCTACCAATTTTCTAACTAAGACTCCCACTATTATTAAACACGATGAACATGAATTTCTTTTTGAGGGTTTCTCATTGCTGTCACATTTTCCTCTAATGGATTTGCCTACATGCAAAGTAATTCGTTTTAATATCGAGTATACTATATTGTATGTACCCGAGAAAATGCCAGAAAATTTCACTGTACGAGAACTGGATTTGTTTTGTAAGTATAATTTTGTATTCTTCAAAATAGCCCATAATTGGTCATAGCTCCCATATAAAAACCTCTTCTGAAAATCACTTAATTACCCATATTAAAAAGATACGTGTTATTAAATAAATTCTTGATTTAAATACGTTGCACGCTTAATTTTCTTATTGTATTGTAATTATTTTTTTAATATTCCAGCTAAATATCTCTTTCACGAACTATTGGAACTCGTCGACTTTTCCTTATTGCCAAATATTGACGGCACCATCGCTGCAAACAGTTGCCCTGCTTTTCATTTTCTGCCACGTTTTGTACGCGATCTACCCGATAACGGCAAAGAGGTATTGGCCATGTGTGAAGTTCTTAAATATCTACTAGACAATGCCGGACCTTTAGTGGATACTCAGAGATTACACAATTTAAATCATATACCGCAAACAGAATGGCAAGATTATGTGGATAATTTCAAGGGTATGTTGGCCACCAAACCAGGCTATAAACCCTCCTCGGTAAGAGTGGATCAATTGGATCGTAATGTCAGCGATTTGCCCGAATGCTATGATGCTGAAAGTGATCTTTGCTATCCGGCTATAGTGCATTTTGGCATACGACCTCCCCAATTAAGTTATGCAGGCAATCCGGAATACCAAAAAGCCTGGAGGGAATATGTTAAATTTCGCCATTTAATGGCCAACATGTCGAAGCCTTCTTTTAAGGATAAACGTAAATTAGAGGAGAAAGAAGCACGTCTGCAAGAAATGCGCACACAGGGTAGAATGAAACGTAATGTTACAGTGGCCGTGAGCTCAAAGGGTTATCATCGTACTGGTGTTATGTGTGATATAGTGCAGCATGCCATGTTAGTGCCCGTATTAACCGGACATTTAAGATTCCACAAGTCGCTAGATTTATTAGAAAATAATATTGGCTACAAATTTAAAAATCGGTTAGTTTTTAGCATGTAACTCAATGGGATTCAATTAATAATTATTTTTTCTTTTAGCTATTTACTGCAATTAGCTTTAACTCACCCTTCATACAAGGAAAACTATGGCACTAATCCCGATCATGCCCGTAATTCTCTAACAAATTGTGGCATACGTCAGCCGGAATATGGTGATCGTAAAATCCATTACATGAATACTCGCAAGAGAGGCATAAATACTTTAATCAACATTATGTCACGTTTTGGCAAGGAATATGAAACCATGTCAAATATTACACACAATGAACGTTTGGAATTTTTGGGTGATGCTGTTGTGGAATTTCTAAGTTCCATACATTTATTTTTTATGTTTCCAGAATTGGAGGAAGGTGGTTTGGCTACCTATCGTGCAGCCATAGTGCAAAATCAACATTTAGCTTTGCTGGCCAAAAAATTACATTTGGAAGAGTATATGTTGTATGCTCATGGTTCAGATTTGTGTCACGAACTCGAATTGCGTCATGCCATGGCCAATTGTTTTGAAGCTTTAATGGGTGCTTTACTCCTGGATGGTGGCATCTCCGTGGCAGATGAAGTTTTCATGAATGCCTTATTTATGGAAAACGATCAATTGCGTGAGATTTGGAAAAATCTACCAGAACATCCCTTGCAAGAACAAGAGCCTTTGGGTGATAGAGATTGTATAAGTTCGTATCCTATGCTGCAGGAGTTAACCAAGTTTGAGGACTCCATAGGCATACAATTCAAGCACATAAGACTGTTAGCCAGAGCCTTTACTGATCGTTCTATAGGTTTTACTCACCTTACCTTGGGATCCAATCAACGTTTGGAGTTTCTGGGCGATACAGTTTTGCAATTGATTTGTTCGGAATATTTATATCGTCATTTTCCCGAGCATCATGAAGGTCATTTGTCTTTGCTGCGTTCCTCTTTAGTTAACAATCGTACCCAGGCTGTGGTGTGTGATGACTTGGGTATGACCAAATATGCTGTTTATTCCAATCCCAAAGCCGAGTTAAAAACAAAGGATAGAGCCGATTTATTGGAAGCTTTCTTGGGCTCCTTATATGTCGACAAGGGTTTACTCTATTGCGAACAATTTTGTCATGTATGTCTTTTTCCTCGTTTGCAATTGTTTATTATGAATCAAGATTGGAATGATCCCAAATCTAAGCTGCAACAATGTTGTCTCACTCTACGCACTATGGACGGTGGTGAGCCTGACATACCGCTCTATAAAGTTATTGAATCTTCAGGTCCCACCAATACTCGAGTTTATACGGTTGCTGTTTACTTTAGAAACAAACGTTTAGCCACTGCTACTGGCTCTTCAATACAACAGGCCGAAATGAATGCCGCCAAACAGGCATTGGAAAATTCTCGTGATCTATTTCCTCAATTGGATCATCAGAAACGTGTTATAGCGAAGAGCATTAAGAAGCAGACGGGACGTGAATTGAACACCGAAGATAACTCGCAACGAGATGAGAGAAAACCAAAGCTAGCAGCACCCATGGAAGATGAATCACATTTACCCAAACAATATCGTGAACGAGAGGATATATCAAGTGATGAGTTGCCCGAAGATGACGGAGATGATGAGGACGATGATAATAATACTAATAATATTTCGAGAAATGTTGATAGAAGAGATAAACGGAAACTAAGAAGTGAGTGGAGAAGCAACATTTTTTATAGAAAATTGTTTCCTATAGAAAATTGTATCCTCAGTTGTCTGATGAACAATTTTTCTATAGAAAATTTTCGACTCAGTTGTCCGATGAACAATTTTCTATAAAAAATTGTCGGCTCAGTTGTCTGATGAACAATTTTCTATAGAAAATTGTCGGCTCAGTTGTCCGATGAACAGTTTTCTATAGAAAATTTTCGACTCAGTTGCCCGATGAACAATTTTCTATATAGTTTGTCGACTCAGTTGTCTAATCAAATATTTTCAATATATTCTTTCCTTTACTGGTGAATTTTTTTTTTATAAATTTCTTTAATTTTTCAGCCTATTCCAGTGATAAATATTCTGATGCTGAAAGTTTAACATCAGTTGGTAGTATTGATACTCCCAAAAAGAAATCACCAAGACGTTCCTCAGATCGTATATCTCCGAAACGTGTGCGTTTACACCATTCTTCTTCAGAGTCCATAAGCAAATCTACTGCAATTATACCACCCATTCCCTGTGAAGATGTAAGTAGTGACGATGAAGATTTCCAAAAACCCTGTGAACCTTCAAAACAAACAGCCATAACTGATGACAAAACTAACAAGCAGAATTTAATTTTAAGTGATTTAAAAGACTTGGTAGAAGATATATCATCTTCGTCGGACTTGGAGCCCGGTGAAATATCCAATTGAATTAGTTTTTAAGTATGTCCGTTATATGTAAACATTATATCTCTAAAATTGAATTAATAAAAGACTAAGAAGAGAAAAATGTTTATTAATGTCAAATTAATTGCTCTTGTTTATTGAAAAAAAAAAAAACTTGTAACAATTTTCAATTTCGTTAAAAAATAATATTTTAGTAACTTGTTCTAATCTATTGAAGGCATATACAAAAAGTTATTGGCCATTAGAAAAACAATTAAAATACTAAAAAATGTAGATTTATAAAGTTACAGAGAGATAACAAACAAGTAATGAATTTTCTAATTGCCAAAATTAATAAACTAAATACATAATCAAGTGGAGCGCTAGTTAGTTATTATTGTTTAGTTTACTACACTGTTTTTAGTTTTATATATGGAGTTTTTATACGACACTTTGTAAAAGTGTTAAAAATGTATTTTTATTATTCCTGCGGGAACTGAGGATCAATTAAAATGATTGAATCATTTAAACAAAGAGAGACGACGACTGTTTAATTTGCCATCGTGGTGTAAAGCATTTTGTACTTCTTTAATGTCAGGCAGGCTAGCAATATCACCGCGAGCAGCCAATGACACGGGAGTGGCCAAGATGCGTTTCGCCACTCTCTGAATATCAGCTGCAGTAATTTTGTCTGAAATTAAAATAAAGTATTTTAGAAATGAATTTAATTGTTAGAAGCCTTACAATACCCACCAATTTCATTAATAAAATGTTCTGGCCTCTTACGGTGACCAGTGGCCAAAACTTGACGTCCCACATCTTCAAATACCACCGGTCTGGACTCCAAATTCATCAATAACATCGATTGTAGTTGAATCTTCGAACGACTCAATTCCTCACGTCCTGGATTTGAAGTCATATTTACCAATTCTCTTGTGACAACTTCAACCATATCACGTACATTATTTGGAGGAGCACTGGCATGTATGCAGAACAAACCAGTATCGGCATAAGCATGATTATAAGCAGTAGCACTGTACATCCAATGATAACGATTTAAAACATTTGTATACAGACGCGAGTACATTCCCTTGCCAGGACCACCGGCCGAAAAGGAACCGCCACCACCCATCATAATATTGAGTACACACAGGGCGACAAAGTCAGGATCTTGATGCGAGCAACCCTCAAGACCGACAACAACATGGGCAAGTTCTGGTAGACCAGCTGCGGCATAAATTGGTATTTCACATTCTTCCTTGCGTAGACCTCCAGTATATTGAGCAATGGATTTGTCTACTTCTTGGGCACCAGTTCCACTAATTTGTTCTTTGTCCCAAATAGCAGCATCGTCAACAAAGAAACGTTCTACATTGCGAACCAGTTCATCGTGATTAACCTAAAAAAGTATTTTTTAATTAATCGAGCAAAAATTAAACTATTTCAGATTTTTTTCTTTGTATCTCACAGTTTTAAAATTATTCTTTAAAAATGTTTAACTATATTTCTGAAAACTAAATGCAATTGAAAATTACCGTTAACTAAACAGAAAATTTTAAAACTTCTTAAATTTAATTGGACTATTCTCAAAATGAGAAATGAAATTTTATACTTTATAACTAAAATTAATACTTACACCAACACCAGCAATGACCATACGTTCAGGTGTATGATGATATTTCAAATAATTCATCAACACATCACGATTAATGGCATCTAGATTTTCTGGAGGACACAATTTCGGCAAACCTAAGGTATTATCTCTATAAGCAGCGGCATGAATCATATCCATAAGAATGGGTTCTTGTTCAGGACGCATGCCCAAAGTTTCCAATTCAAATTGTATAGCTCGTCTAGCCAAAAATACTTCCTCCTCATGTAAAGTGGGCCTCAAAGTAACATCAGCCAAAAGACGTGTAACAGATTCAATGGCACGACTGTCTATGCTAGCGGCATAGATAAGAGTATCACGAGAACTTTGGCAATCACATATGCCACCATTTTTCTCAAGTTCCTTTAAGATGGCATCTTTATTGGGGAAGTTGGTGGTAGACTTAAGTGAAAAAAGTACAAGTTTATTTTATAATAAAACAAACTTAATCGAAAACTCACGTTAAAAGCTAATTTTTCCAAAAAATGTGAAACACCTCCCGGGTAGGTAACCTCATAACGTGGACCCGAATCAATAACCAAACCCACTGTACAAAATTGACCAAAACGTGGTTCAGAAGCCACTCTCAAGCCATTGGGCAGTGTTGTAACTTTGGTGGCACTACTTTCCAACAATGGTTTAGCATATTCCACTTCAGCCAAATCAGGTATGGGCTGTGTTAAGGGAGGCAATTTGGTAACCACTTCCGTGGATGGTTGATTGACTGTATAAAGTCCATCAACATTTTTACGCAAACCACCGGTAATGTTACCAATACCGGTACCACTGCCTATCTCATCTATGTTGGGCGAAGAGGTTTTTGTTGCAAATCTCCGGGATACACTGAATTATAGGAAATTTGAAAAGTTAGGAAAACATAACATCACGTTTTAAGGTTATTCAATAGTATTTATTGTTGTGAAATGCCGCAAATTGTCTGCCTCTCACCACACTCACTCACCTTTTCCAAGAGTTTCTTAAATGATTTAAAGCACGCAATTGCATTTTAAATGCTTTCCTAAACACACGCACACAAAAAACTCTTTTAATTCAACTGTTTATTTCGTTTATATTATAAATTTATTCAATTTTTTAATATCTTTTGCCGTATTTTTTCTAAAACATAATTGTGAGAATGATGAGAAAAATTCTTTTGGAAGAAAGATTACGAATGACAGCTGTTTTTGACAGCTTTGTTTAGGGTTTTCCAGTTGAAACAAAAAGTCATCATACGACTTTTATATTATTGAAAAGTAGATTTTTCGACTTTTGTTATTTATGAAAAGCCGACTTTCGAGTGTTGTGTTTTATGTATAGTAAAATTTTTTCGACTTTTCGACCTTTTGCAACATTTAGACGTTTTTTTCGACCTTTATTTGTAAAATTAATTTTACAACTTTTTTCTTATGATATACTTTGTTAGGACAAAAAAGTCGACTTCGATTATTTTAAAGTCGTTTTATAAAACCCTATTTGACTGTGGATGTTATTTTTTATGAAGTTGCCAGACTGTTTAGTTAGTTACAACTTGTACACAGTGGGAAATTAACTAAAATAAAAATACATGCGGGAATACAAATATTTATCAAATACAGATTAATTTGGAATAGACATATATGGGTTTCTATGTTATTATACATTTAAATTTTATAGTTATTTCTCAATATTTACATTGTATTATTTTTCTTAAATTAAATTTGTTCTTTTGACAAATAATTTGAATATAATTAAAAATATTGAATTTTAAATTCGGTTTGAATTCAATCTATTCGAACAATAATGTATAATTTTGAACAAATTCGATACATTTTTATGCGAAAATACCAAATTTAAAGTTGTCCAAATTCTCCAATTTTAACGAGATTAAAGTTCATATTTTTAAAGTTTTTTATTTTCAATGGTATGGAGTTTAATATTGAGTTATTAGTTAACGACAAACCTTTTATTCAAATTATAAAAATAAAAAATATTATAATATTTGTATATAGCAATAATTGTTCATTTATTTATCGTTTTTCGTAAGCTATAAATGATGACTTCTCGTTTCAGTTTTATTCTTAAGATGAAAAAAAATCTACAGCTCTCATTCAAAATTAAGCTGAAATAGAATAATACTTTTGTTATAATAATTTTTTTTATTACTTTTTTCAATCACTACAAATTTTGCAAAAAACCTTTGAATATTAAAAAAAATTATATAATGTAAGAAAAACTAATTAAATAATAATCACATTTTATGCTTAATTTTCTAAATCACTTTCATTCTTATATTCATCGCTTGTTTTCTATAATTATAGACAAATAAAAAAATATTTATTTTAAATTAAAAAAAATCCAACAAAAAAGTTTTAACAATTATTCAAGCAAAGCTAAGCTTGAACTTTAAATTACTTCATTAACATAAAAAAACTAAAAACTAAACAAATAAAATAAGTATTAGAAAAATAATAATAATAAATATTACCAAATACTCTTATAATTATATTAATTACTTAGTTTTAATTTGAAATCTTGCATTTTCATTTCTTAAATACCATTTTAGTTCTAAACTTGTATAATTTTATGCATTGTTAGACTTAAGCATTATGTTTTATTAAGATATTTTACTTTTTGTTTTTCAGTTTAATTCATGGTATGTTTTTTTTTAATTTTCTCTAAGAAAATTATTTGGTTTTTTTATTGTTTCTTTTTAGAAAATTATTCTTATTTCAAAAACATAATATTAAGTATTTTTGTTTTTTAAAAGTAATGTATAGATAGATTAGATATTATGTGTAATTTTTAATTCTATTACAGTTTAAACTTAATAATTAAGTTTAAGCTGATTCTTAAAACCCATCCTCATGTTATTTATTTTATAGATAATTTTTTTATTTGAGGCAATATTTGTTAATTTAACAAGTTATTTTTTGTTTCGTAAAAAAGAAATTATATTGTAATCATATTATTGTAACTTAGAGCATTCTTATTTCTTTTAGTTTAAATGATAATGATGTATTGTGTTTGTGGTATTGTTCAGATTTCCAAAATATTCAGATATATTTTTTACTCATCTGTAAAAGGGTGTTCTGAGGTTTCACTGCTATTACGTCTACGATTTTCGAGAATTTTTGTAGCTTGTTCTAATGTTTCCTTATAAAAAATGTTATAATTTTCACTTGGCAGTGAATATTTTGTGTCATCAAGATGCCATGTTAGTCCTAGAACAATATTAAAAGCAGAAGTATCATAACTATGGCAACCAGAATAACGATATTGGGGCTTTTTATTATATTTGCAGCCATTTGATTGAGCACCTAAAAAGAAAATAAAAGATTCAATAACAAAATTAATATGGAAAAAAATATTTGAGATATAAAAATTATTGATCGTATTCGTGTCATTTATTACTCTTCTCCACGATTAAAATCATAAATTATACTTTAGTCGGGAGAAAATGATACTCTAGTCGCAATTCTTCTAAACGAGTCTTTTATGAGCACCTATTTTAATCAGTTCCGACTCATTTTTGAGTCGAATTACTGGTCGTTGTAGAATCTTTTTCGAATCATATTTTTGTAATTTTTGAGTCTTTTCTGAGTAATTCTTATGTTTGTTACAAACAAATAAAATAATACAGAAAACTTTTTTTGATCTTCCGACTGAGCGACATATTATTACAAAATAAATGTATAAACAATCATATTTCAAACACTTGTACCCCGTCTCTGTATTTTTCGCATCGAGAAAAATTGTCGGAAAATTTACGATTATCTTGTATAAAACACAAGGAATTTAAATATTTCATGTTGAATTTTAATGCTTACAATTTAAAATAAACTGAATAACCCAGTTAAAAACTGGAAGACTATCATATTTATATTTTTTCTTGATTCGAGAAAAATACAGAAATGTGGCACTGGATGATGTATTTATGATTGCTGTATATTTTGTTATAGTTTTTCGAATAAATCACATAATTTTTAAACCAGTTGGGTGACTAATCGCCACACTTAGTTTAGTGATTAGTCATCTTCCGTAGAAGATTGTTAAACATAGAAAATTATAATTATTATAACTATAATTAAAGCATAACATAATTTACAGAAATCTTACTTTATACTACACAAACTCAAACAATTAAACATTTAGGGCGAATCTTTGGAGGTGGTTTAAACTCGAGCAAGAGATGCAAAAGTGTAAACAGCTGATGCAAAAAAAATTAATAAATTTTTTATAATAATAAACATTAAAATGTTTTATTTCTTTATTAGTATAATTTATGGACTCTTCAAAATACAGTTTTTGTTTTTAATTTAAGTTTTCGTTAATTTTCATGTTACACTTACAGTTGTCTTCTTCGTTTTTATAAACAATGCATTGTTTTGATGGCAAACAGTGACGTTTTCTGTTGTTTTGTATAACAACACTGCAAAGTTTAAATTTGTACTCAAAAACATCAAACATCTGATTATTAATTGGCATTAAATTGTCAACTCAAAAATATTATAAACGAAATGAGAATTATATCAACTCATTTAAGGCCACACAAAATTTTTTACCAATTCTTCTTAAAGAGTCTTTTATGAGCCAATTTTCTAATCATTTTCGACTCATTCTTGAATCGTTTTTGAGTAATTTTTAAGTGTAATTATTGTTGTTCCATTACAAACAACAACAATTACATAAGAAACAATTTTAGATCTTCCAACTGCTAGAAATATGATTACAAAATAAGTTTTTAAAACCATCATATTTTAAACACCAGGATGATCAATTTATTATTGCTATATATTTTGATACTGTTTTTCAAATAATCAGTTTTAAATTATATATCGGGATCATTTTTGAATCATTTTTTAAACTTATTAATCATTTCAGGTCATCAAAAGAGGTCAACAAAGATTTGGATTAATCATCCAAATGCTAGTTGGGATGCTACGTGATGGTATTTATAAATATTTTTAAAGAAATAAAAATTATTTAACTTATCTTAATTTAAACTGATGTAAAAAAAACATCAAATTTTCTAATTTTCGATTTGCGGATTTCTCGACTTTTTCCCGATTTTTAAAAGTCGATTTATTGAACGCTATTTTAAGCTAAAAATGCTTAATAAATGAAAAATATTTTTTATAAATACAATTTAATCAATCAACATTTATATTTATTTATATATCAAATGTAAAAAATATATAAATGTTTTTGTAATTAAATGTAAAAATATTAAAACTAATTAAAACCTCAACAACTTATCATCATCTAAAAACAACCCTTGTGAATTAGTAAAATAATGTGGCAACATCTACAACATCCACAACGTAAACAAAAAAACTCTGGCAAACAACAAACATAAACGAAGAAGATAGAAAAACATACGTATTTGAAGTGGATCCAGAGAATAAAGAAATTACAAATTTTTATCGACGGCAATCATTTAAAATTTTTTTGTACAATTTTTTATATTTATAAAAGTTTTTAAGATTCAAAAACAACTATGAATCCACAGGGATATGCACAACAACCACCGTATCCCAGTCAGCCGGGTTATGAACCTGGTCCACCACCACCAAGTAAGTAGAAGAAAATTTCCATTTTAAGATGCAGTCGACGACGAAGGGGGACAGTGAAAAACCCCCATTTGGTTATGGTTATTAATTAGCTTTAGATTGTTAGTGCATTGGCAAAAATAAGCGAAAGAAAAAATGCTGGTATACACATTATATGGAAAAAAAAAAACATGAATCAATGGGTTCGATTGATGCATTTTACGACGTTTGTATAAAATAATCCTTTGTGTCCTGATTTTAAGTAATTCAATTATTTGTTTATTAATTACAATACTTTATGTTTTCTTTGTAATATTTTTTTGATTAAAGCTCAACCCTATGGCTGGAAACCAAACCCTCCCGCCGATAATATACCTTCGCCAGCCAGTGGCGGTTTCATAGATCCAGAGGATTTACAACCTAAGAATTTTTCATTCAATGAAGCCAGTGTACGCAAGGGTTTCTTACGTAAAGTCTACCTCATTTTAATGGTAAGAGAAAAACGAAAACAAATATACAACCAACATTTCTTTGTACATACCCTATCTACAATGTAATTTGCGAACTACGATTTTATTTTGTTTATTGTGTGATGAAATTCAATTGAATGTGAAAATAGCAAATAATATCTACATATTTTCTTGGAAAAATGATTTACATTCTTCACATTTGTTTATGGTTTAAAATGTAAACAAATAAGCTAGATAGAATAAACATTATTTTGCTTAATTAGCCAAAATCTGGTTCTGGTCAGTATCCGGAAAAAACATTGTTCGTTAATAATATACATAGATTATGATAGTACTTTATAGTAGAAAAAAGTAATAATATTGCCTATTTATTTTAAGACTGGTGTAACTCAACAAAGACCTAGTGATTTATTATATATGACTTCTAGAACACGTTCTGTTAGATAGATTCTGAAGTACTTTTCAAGAGTTTTCAAGAAACCTATTCTTTGGCGCTAGTTATACATACATATGTACATCCGATAGAAGAATCCGTTGTGAAACGCTTCAAGAGAAAGTATAGAATATAAGACAATAAGTAAAAACAAAATTGTGATACAAAGAATAACATCAAATACTGTATGATGATAGATTCGAATCAAAGATCAATCAAAATTTCAACCTATTCCACTGATAAAGCGTAGCAGATTGCGCGGATTAAATGTAGTAATACCAAATTCCTGCATACTGTTGCCTGACCCCTTATATACCCTATCCTAACTAGCTCTTCAACAAGTCTCCTTTGTTATTAATAAATCTTTGTTTAATGAAATTTCATAATTACTTTCTTAGGAAAGGGATAGAGTAAATGAGAAAGGTAATGAAAATGAAGGATAAAAGAAAGTTTTACTTATTAATTTCATTTCATTTATGTACAAATTATTTTGCTTCTGCTGATCTATAAATATTCCGAAAGGATTTTGAATGATTTGAAATCGAAAAATTAATAAAAATCTTTTAAATATAACAATTCATAATACGAATTAAACTCATTATAAATAAACTATTTATCAATATCAAAACCACAACATGGATGGAAAATTAACTGCAACTAAAAACAAAATAAAGCAGACCATGCAAAAATTTGCAAGCAATTTATAAATACAAATATATGTACTTTAAGGATAAAATCATGATTACAAATTCCCAACCATAAACTTCAATATTACTAAACTTTGAAATGTAAAATTCTCAATGTATATGAACTTTAATAGATTTTAACAGCTTATTATTAAAAAATGTGAATAAGACTTTATTACATAAATCAAATTTCCTATTCTTCTTATATATTTTAGGGTCAATTACTTTTCACATTTGGTGTAGTGGCTCTATTTTTATTCCATGAACCAACATTGAAATTTTCCCAAAGAAACCCAGGCCTAGTATTGGCAGCTTGTATTATTACATTGGTGGTTGTAGTGGCTATGGCCTGTTGTGAGTCAGCACGTCGTACATTCCCCACTAATTTTATATGTTTAAGTATATTCACGGCGGCCGAATCATTCCTAGTTGGTGCCATAGCTGGTCGTTATAATGCAGAATCGGTGAGTTGTAAATCGTAACTAGAAAATTGAGCAATTTTATTTAAACATTTTTCTTTTCTAGGTATTTTTGGCTGTTGGCATTACGGCCATACTCTGTTTAGCCTTGACTCTATTCGCATTTCAAACAAAATATGATTTTACTGCCTGTGGTGGTTTTCTTCTAGCTGCCATGGTTATTCTCTTGATATTTGGTATTGTAGGCATGTTTTGGCGTGCTCATATTATTCAAACTATTTATGCCGGCTGTGGTGCTCTTTTGGCCTGTATTTTCCTTATCTATGACACACAAATTATGATGGGTGGTGATCACAAGTACAGCATTAGTCCTGAGGAGTATATATTTGCTGCCTTGAATCTTTACATGGATGTTGTACGCATTTTCTTGTTTATTTTACAATTAATTGGCAATAGAAATAATTAATGGAAACATTCTAAAAAGCATTCCAATGATTTGTCAGTTAATCAACATAAATGATTATGGAATTGATTAACTATTATTAATTACAGTAAGCTGGGTTGGCAAATAACAATTTGATATTACTACTGATTTACTAACATTAAACCCACTGTACTATTGAGAATCTAAAGTTTTCTTTATTTTATTATAATACATTTATGTATGTTTTTTTTTAAAATGTTTGTATTTAATTTTTTGTAAAACCATGAATTTATATATGAAAGTTTTTTTTTCTAATTTAAGTTTTTTTTGCGTCTCAAATATTTAAATATTATCTATCCTATGTCATAATTATTGTCTTACTTATTGAGTAATTTGAGTATAAATACTATTCTCTATATATTCATAAACGACTAATAAAGTTATTGATGGTTTATTAAAGAAAAAGTGTTTATTAAGCAAATAAATCATTCATAACTTAATGAATTTTAGGAGTATATGAATAAGAATTTAATTGTAAATTAAAGTTGTTTACTAGTAACAATAATAATTACCCGAATTTTTAAAAATAACTTATGTGTGTGTTTGCCTTTTATTCAAATTTGGTATATAAACTAGTGGATTAATTTATTATGAAAAGTTTCTTATAAATTAGTGCTTTTTCAAATTAAAATTATTAAAACGTTTGCTAGCTATAAAAAACCCCCTCAAAAATATATAAAATTCAATAAAGCTTTAAAAAAATCTCACTGTTCCTACTTATGTATGCCAACTCGTTGTGTATGCAATATTTTAGATTTTAAACAACAAAATACTAAGATTTTTTTTTGGCAACGAGTTTTGTATATTTTGCTTTTGTTTGCTTCATCTCTGGAACACAAATAAAACAAAAAAGTGTGTAGAAAATATATGTATGCAAGTATTTCAAATGTATCAAAAAGAATACAATCAAAAGCTTTTTTTTTTGCAACTAGAATTTTTGCAGTATTTTTTATAAAATTTGTTTAGTAACTTATTAACAACACAGAACAATGAATCCACAAGGATATTCTCAACCACCGCCACCATATACCGAAAATCCGGGTAATCCACCCAAGCCAATGTCAAGTAAGTAATATGCAAGCACATGTATACATTGAACAAATACAGACAGTTGATGACTTATCGCGAAAAAAAAAATTCTACAAGTCAATATGTTTTTCGAAAAATTGACCATTTAATGTACATATATATAAAAAAATAATTTTAATTTAATAGAAGAAATTTTTTAGCGGTGGACCTTTTGTGGGAACTAAAAGCAATTGCTTGATTGTATTAACATTTTAAAGTGTGATTTCTGCATATAAATATATATAAAAAGTTATTCATACTTTATTATACACTACCATATTTTTTATAGGGGAATTTATATGTCGTATTAGTGTTTCAGAAAATTTGGTCCTTTTTTTCATCGGTAATAATATAAATTTAAGTCATTAAAACATATTTATCCCAAATATTGACGTATAATTGTTAACAATTCAATTATGATTTCAAAAATAACGGAATCACGATCATAGAATTAATTCCATTCATATCGAATTTGTAATTATTTTAGTATTTTCTTTCTTACCCCATTTCAGATCTAGATTAGTTCTAGTTCAGTTCTAGTTCAGTTGTAGTTCACTTCTTGTTCAGTTCTAGTCTAGTTCTAGTTCAGTTTTAGTTTAGTTCTAGTACAGTTCTAGTTCAGTTCTAGTTCAGTTCTAGTTCAGTTCTAGTTCAGTTCTAGTTCAGTTCTAGTTCAGTTCTAGTTCAGTTCTAGTTCAGTTCTAGTTCAGTTCTAGTTCAGTTCTAGTTCAGTTCTAGTTCAGTTCTAGTTCAGTTCTAGTTCAGTTCTAGTTCAGTTCTAGTTCAGTTCTAGTTCAGTTCTAGTTCAGTTCTAGTTCAGTTCTAGTTCAGTTCTAGTTCAGTTCTAGTTCAGTTCTAGTTCAGTTCTAGTTCAGTTCTAGATCAGTTCTAGATCAGTTCTAGTTCAGTTCTAGTTCAGATCTAGTTCTGTTCTAGTTCAGTTCTAGTTCAGTTCTAGTTCAGTTCTTGTTCAGTTCTTGTTCAGTTCTAGTTCAGTTCCAGTTCAGTTCTAGTTCAGTTCTAGTTCAGTTCTAGTTTAGTTCTAGTTCAGTTCTAGTTCAGTTCTAGTTCAGTTCAAGTTCAGTTCTAGATCAGTTCTAGTTCAGTTCTAGTTCAGATCTAGTTCAGTTCTAGTTCAGTTCTAGTTCAGTTCTAGTTCAGTTCTTGTTCAGTTTTTGTTCAGTTCCATTTCAGTTCTAGTTCAGTTTTAGTTAAGTTCTAGTTCAGTTCTAGTTTAGTTCTAGTTCAGTTCTAGTTCAGTTCTAGTTCAGTTTTAGTTCAGTTCTAGTTCAGTTCTAGTCCAGATCTAGTTCAGTTCTAGTTCAGTTCTAGATCAGTTCTACTTCAGTTCTAGTTCAGTTCTAATTCAGTTCTAGTTCAGTTCTAGATCAGTTCTAGTTCAGTTCTAGTTCAGTTCTAGTTCAGTTCTAGTTCAGTTCTAGTTCAGTTCTAGTTCAGTTCTAGTTCAGTTCTAGTTCAGTTCTAGTTCAGTTCTAGTTCAGTTCTAGTTCAGTTCTAGTTCAGTTCTAGTTCAGTTCTAGTTCAGTTCTAGTTCAGTTCTAGTTCAGTTCTAGTTCAGTTCTAGTTCAGTTCTTGTTCAGTTCTAGTTCAGTTCTAGTTCAGTTCTAGTTCAGTTCTAGTTCAGTTCTAGTTCAGTTCTAGTTCAGTTCTAGTTCAGTTCTAGTTCAGTTCTAGTTCAGTTCTAGTTCAGTTCTAGTTCAGTTCTAGTTCAGTTCTAGTTCAGTTCTAGTTCAGTTCTAGTTCAGTTCTAGTTCAGTTCTAGTTCAGTTCTAATTCAGTTCTAGTTCAGTTCTAGTTCAGTTCTAGTTCAGTTCTAGTTCAGTTCTAGTTCTGTTCTAGTTCAGTTCTAGTTCAGTTCTAGTTCAGTCTAGTTCAGTTCTAGTTCAGTTCTAGTTCAGTTCTAGTTCAGTTCTAGTTCAGTTCTAGTTCAGTTCTAGTTCAGTTCTAGTTCAGTTCTAGTTCAGTTCTAGTTCAGTTCTAGTTCAGTTCTAGTTCAGTTCTAGTTAAGTTCTAGTTCAGTTCTAGTTCAGTTCTAGTTCAGTTCTAGTTCAGTTCTAGTTCAGTTCTAGTTCAGTTCTAGTTCAGTTCTAGTTCAGTTCTAGTTCAGTTCTAGTTCAGTTCTAGTTCAGTTCTAGTTCAGTTCTAGTTCAGTTCTAGTTCAGTTCTAGTTCAGTTCTAGTTCAGTTCTAGTTCAGTTCTAGTTCAGTTCTAGTTCAGTTCTAGTTCAGTTCTAGTTCAGTTCTAGTTCAGTTCTAGTTCAGTTCTAGTTCAGTTCTAGTTCAGTTCTAGTTCAGTTCTAGTTCAGTTCTAGTTCAGTTCTAGTTCAGTTCTAGTTCAGTTCTAGTTCAGTTCTAGTTCAGTTCTAGTTCAGTTCTAGTTCAGTTCTAGTTCAGTTCTAGTTCAGTTCTAGTTCAGTTCTAGTTCAGTTCTAGTTCAGTTCTAGTTCAGTTCTAGTTCAGTTCTAGTTCAGTTCTAGTTCAGTTTTAGTTCAGTTCTAGTTCAGTTCTAGTTCAGTTCTGGATCAGTTCTAGTTAATAATAAGTTCTGATCTATTTCAGTTCTAGTTCTGTTTTAGTACAGTTCTACTTAAGAACAGGTTCAGATACATTTCAGTTCTAATTCAGTTCTAGTTCAATTCTAGTTCAGTTCTAGTTTAGTTCTTGTTCAGTTCTACTTCAGTTATAGCTCAGCCCTAGGTCATTTCTAGTTCAGTTCAAGTAGAGTTCTAGTTAATAATAAGTTCTGATCTATTCAGTTCTAGTTCAGGTTTAGTACAGTTCTAAAAAGGAACAAGTTCAGATCTATTTTAGTTCTAGTTCAGAGTTCTAGTTCAATTCTATTAAAATTAGAAGGCTATAGACTATTCAAATCCAAATTTTTGTTTTGATAACAGTACGAAAACAACGATATTTATAAAGTTTGTTATGTGATCTAAAAGTTCAATCATTTAACATTTATAACTTTATTTTAATTTTTTGTTAGATCAAACTTATGGTTGGAAAGAAAGTCTTTCTGCCGATACAGCAACAACAACGCCATTAGCTACATCAACAACACCAATAGCTAATGGCGATTCAATAGATCCTGAGGACTTACAATCCAAACAGTTTTCATTTGATGAAGCCAGTGTACGTAAAGGATTTTTGCGAAAAGTCTATCTTATTTTAATGGTAAGGAGAGAAATAGTTTTTAAAACATTTTCCATTTTATTATCCATTCCTTACAGTGCCAGCTAATTGTCACCTTTGGCGTTGTGGCTTTGTTTTTATTCCACCAACCGACATTAGAATTTTCCCAACAACACCCGCGCTTATCAATGGTGGCAATGTTTATAACGATAGGAATTGGAGTTGCTATGGCTTGCTGTGAGTCGGCACGTCGTAAATATCCCACTAATTTCATATGTTTAGGTATATTTACAATTGCCGAATCATTTCTAGTGGGTACCATAGCTGGCCGTTATAATTCAGAATCGGTGAGTTCTAAACAATCATAAAAGGATATAGTCAATACAATGTCTTTTTTCTAGGTATTAATGGCAGTTGGTATTACGGCCTTTTTGTGTTTAGCTTTGACTATATTTGCTTTACAAACTAAATATGATTTCACTGTCTGTGGTGGTTTTCTAATTTGTGCCATGGTTTGTTTGCTAATTTTTGGTATTGTTGGCATATTTTGGCGTAATCATATTCTACACACTATTTATGCCGGCTGTGGTGCTCTTTTGGCTTGTTTCTTTCTCATATTCGATACACAGATGATGATGGGAGGTCATCACAAATACAGCATTAGTCCGGAAGAATATGCTTTTGCCGCCTTAAATCTTTACATGGATATTATACGTATTTTCATATTTATTTTAAAATTATTAGGAAAAAAGAAGGATTGATGATAATCATGGAAAATTGCAACTTCACTTTTGTTTCCAAACTTAACTTTATTAGAATACTAGCTATACCCAGTGTGCTTCGCTACCCTCATCGTAATGAAATAAAATAAATATTATTGTAAATGTATATATATCTGCAATATCAAAAAGTCCCCTATTTAAATTTATGTTTATATATTCAATATTTTAGAAAACTCAAAAAGTACCAATGAAGTACGAAAAAGTAACAAAAGACCTCTTTTATTTAATTTCATGTTCCTAAGTTCAATATTATAGAAAATTAAAAAAGTACCAGTTGAAGAACGAAAAATTACCAAAGGGTCCCCTTTTATAGATTCTCATTAACTCCGGGCTCCACATGGTTAATTTCATGTTATAAAAAACACAAAAAGTACCTTTTGAAGAACGAAAAATTACCAAAAAGTCCTCTTTTATATGTTCTCACTTACTCCGGGCTCTACGTACTTAATTTCATGTTTCTAGGTTCAATATTATAGAAAATTCAAAAAGTACCTTTTGAAGAACGAAAAAGTGCCGAAAAGTCCCCTTTTATAGGTTATCACTTAATCTTGGCTGTACTTGCTTAATTTCATGCTTCTAGGATCAATATTATAGAAAATTCAAAAAGTACCTTTTGAAGAACGAAAAAGTACCAAAAAGTCCCCTTTTATAGATTCTCATTTACTCCAGGCTCTACATGCTTAATTTCATGCTTCTAGGATCAATATTATAGAAAATTCAAAAAGTACCTTTTGAAGAACGAAAAAGTACCAAAAAGTCCACTTTTATAGGTCCTCACTTAATTCGGGCTCTACATGTTTAATTTCATGTTTCTAGGTTCAATATTATAGAAAATTCAAAAAGTACCTTTTGAAGAACAAAAAAGTACCAAAAAGTCCCCTTTTATAGTTTCTCACTTAATCCAGGCTCTACATGCATACTTTCATGTTTCTATTTTCAATATTATAGAAAATTCATAAAGTACCTTTTGAAGAACGAAAAAGTACCAAAAAGTCCCCTTTTATAGATTCTCATTTACTACGGGCTCTAAATGCTTATTTTCATGTTTCTAGGTTCAATTTAATAGAAAACTCAAAAAGTACCAGTCGAAGGACGAAAAAGTACCAAAAAGTCCCCTTTTATAGATTCTCATTTACTTCAGGCTCTACATGCTTAATTTCATGCTTCTAGGATCAATATTATAGAAAATTCAAAAAGTACCAGTCGAAAGACGAAAAAGTACCAAAAAGTCCCCTTTTATAGATTCTCATTTACTAAGGGCTCTACATGCTTAATTTCATGTTTCTAGGTTAAATTTTATAGAAAACTCAAAAAGTACCAGTCGAAAGACGAAAAAGTACCAAATAGTTTTATAGATAGTTTTATAGATTCTCATTTATAGATTCTCATTTAATAAGGGATCTACATGCTTAATTTTATGTTTCTAGGTTAAATTTTATAGAAAACTCAAAAAGTACCAGTCGAAGGACGAAAAAGTACCAAAAAGTCCCCTTTTATAGATTCTCATTAACTAAGGCCTCCGCATGCTTAATTTCATGTTTCTAGGTTAAATTTTATAGAAAACTCAAAAAGTACCAGTCGAAAGACGAAAAAGTACCAAAAAGTCCCCTTTTATAGATTCTCATTTACTAAGGGCTCTACATGCTTAATTTCATGTTTCTAGGTTAAATTTTATAGAAAACTCAAAAAGTACCAGTCGAAGGACGAAAAAGTACCAAAAAGTCCCCTTTTATAGATTCTCATTTACCAAGGGCTCTACATGCTTAATTTCATGTTTCTAGGTTAAATTTTATAGAAAACTCAAAAAGTACCAGTCGAAGGACGAAAAAGTACCAAAAAGTCCCCTATTATAGATTCTCATTTACTCTGGGCTCTACATGCTTAAATTCATGTTTCTAGGTTAAATTTTATAGAAAACTCAAAAAGTACCAGTCGAAAGACGAAAAAGTTCCAAAAAGTTCCAAAAAGTCCCCTTTTATAGATTCTCATTTACTCCGGGCTCTACATGCTTAATTTCATGTTTCTAGGTTAAATTTTATAGAAAACTCAAAAAGTATCAGTCGAAAGACGAAAAAGTACCAAAAAGTCCCCTTTTATAGATTCTCATTTACTAAGGGCTCTACATGCTTAATTTCATGTTTCTATGTTAAATTTTATAGAAAACTCAAAAAGTACCAGTCGAAGGACGAAAAAGTACCAAAAAGTCCCCTTTTATAGATTCTCATTTACTAAGGGCTCTACATGCTTAATTTCATGTTTCTAGGTTAAATTTTATAGAAAACTCAAAAAGTACCAGTCGAAAGACGAAAAAGTACCAAATAGTCCCCTTTTATAGATTCTCATTTACTAAGGGCTCTACATGCTTAATTTTATGTTTCTAGGTTAAATTTTATAGAAAACTCAAAAAGTACCAGTCGAAGGACGAAAAAGTACCAAAAAGTCCCCTTTTATAGATTCTCATTAACTAAGGCCTCCGCATGCTTAATTTCATGTTTCTAGGTTAAATTTTATAGAAAACTCAAAAAGTACCAGTCGAAGGACGAAAAAGTACCAAAAAGTCCCCTTATATAGATTCTCATTTACTCCGGGCTCTACATGCTTAATTTCATGTTTCTAGGTTAAATTTTATAGAAAACTCAAAAAGTACCAGTCGAAGGACGAAAAAGTACCAAAAAGTCCCCTTTTATAGATTCTCATTTACTCCGGTCTCTACATGTTTAATTTCATGTTTCTAGGTTCAATATTATAGAAAATTCAAAAAGTACCTTTTGAAGAACGAAAAAGTACCAAAAAGTCCCATTTTATAGATTCTCATTTACTCCGAGCTCTACATGCTTAATTTCATGTTTCTAGGTTTAATTTTAAAGAAAACTCAAAAAGTACCTGTGTAGAACGAAAAAGTAGCGAAAAGTCCCTTTATTATTAATTTCATGTTTCTATTTCAATATCATAGAAAACTCAAAAAGGACCAGTTGGAGAATGAAAAGTACCAAAAAATATCACTTGATACCGGGGTTCCAAATAACACCCCATTAGGATATTTAGTGTTTCTAAATTTAAAAATTTTATCTAAATTGGATCATTGTGGTTGAATAAAATCAAATTTCCCGTTTTTACCCCTTTTGGTACTTTTTTCCTCCCCATTAACGAAATAAAAATTCTATTCCAAAAAGTTGCAACATCGTATTGGGAGCCCGTTATTATGTATTCATATGTATAAGTTAATAAACCAAAAACAATGTTTTATGAAAAAAGTACCAAAAATAGGTACAATTTTAACCCCTTAAACGTCCGAATATCCAAAAAGTACTAAATTCATATTTTTATTTTTTCGTTAAGTTATGAAGGAGTCAAAAATAGTTTTTGAATGTGCACTGGTTTAAAAGATACATGGGGTGCGAAAAAAGTACCAAAATACAGTTTTTACCCGTTTATTCCCTAAAGGGGCCGAATTTTAAAAAAGTACCAGACACCTGTCCGTTTATTTTTTAAATGAACGGCGATAAGCTTTAAACTGTTTTTGTATCTTTTCTAGTTTAGGAGATATAAGGTTACCGAATTTACCCGTTTTTACCCTTTTTTACCCCCTAAACATTCGAATTTCCAAAAATCCCGTCTTAGTGGATCTATTTGGCGGGAGACCAACCTCCTGTCCAAATTTCAGCTCTTTAGCTTCAACCGTTTAGGCTGTGCGATGATGAATCAGTCAGTGAATCAGTCAGTCAGTCAGTCAGTCAGTCAGTCAGTCAGTAACGTTAGAATTTTATATATATAGATAATATTTATTAAATTATGTAATAATTATTAAGTCTATCTTTTTATTAAAATTCAGAAAGGATGAACATTGACCTAAAATACATAGTTATAATTTGAGGGACATCCACAGAGTAAGTTATGTTTCAGCAAGAAGCTCAAAACCTATAAGGTCTTACTATAGGTTAGACTATAGCTCAGACTATGGAAAATATTATGATATCTTGAATAGAACAGGGTGAATACAATGAACTGAAATATTTCTTGTTAAATACTATTAGTACAGTTTAAAAATAAACCAAATTACACGGTTAAAAACTAAAAGACTCTTTGAAATTTATTATTCGATTCGACAAATACAGTCTACGCTATTTACAAGACTATAGAACTATCCTACAGACAATAAACATATCTATTGTCCAGACTGTAGACAAGACAATAAACCAGATAATGTATAATAATATAATAGAGATAAAATTTTTTTGAGTCCAAAAAACAACGCACTCTTAGAGATCAAATTTTTTTGAGTCCTACTAATTCTCCAGGCATACCGAATTAGCGAATGTACAAAAGTGGAATTTTCAAAAATGACACCAATGGAATTTGAAGATACAGATCATAACAACATTAATGTGACGAAAAGATTTATCAGGACCTGATGAGACCGAGCCCCCACATAAAGAGCCAGAAATTATGATATTATGTGAATCATGTCACAGTGGAAATGTTCTTTGAAAATCTTTTTTAATTAACACATCCTTTATTAGGACCGAAGTGTGTCGGTCGTTGGCCGACTGCCTCAGAAATCTAACCTAACATTTTTGAGGTAAACCAGATACCAACACCGCAGGTCATGGGTTTGATTCCCACCAGAGACGCTAAAAGAGCGCACAACCGGCCTTGTTTCCATTCTATTTATCTATCTATCTATCTATCTATCTATCTATCTATCTATCTATCTATCTATCTATCTATCTATCTATCTATCTATCTATCTATCTATCTATCTATCTATCTATCTATCTATCTATCTATCTATCTATCTATCTATCTATCTATCTATCTATCTATCTATCTATCTATCTATCTATCTATCTATCTATCTATCTATCTATCTATCTATCTATCTATCTATCTATCTATCTATCTATCTATCGATCTATCTATCTATCTATCTATCTATCTATCTATCTATCTATCTATCTATCTATCTATCTATCTATCTATCTATCTATCTATCTATCTATCTTATCTATCTATCTATCTATCTATCTATCTATCTATCTATCTATCTATCTATCTATC